TTTTTTTTTTTTTTTTGATGATATAGAAATAAAAATATATATATATACAAAAAGTACAGAAATACGCTCGGTTTATCGCCGGGAGCTCGGCTCTAGTCCGGATCAAGGATACAGTGGCTCGTCAAGACTGATAGTCTCGACATGATTCTTTTCGAACTTTTCTTCGAAATAAGGCTTGACCCTTTGTCCATTGACCACGAGCAAGTCACCATTTGCCGGGTTTCGGAGTCGCACAGCTCCAAATGATAGCACTTCCTCACTAACATAAGGTCCACTCCAACGAGACTTCAGTTTTCGGGAAAGAGACGGAGTATTGAATTAAAGAGAAGGACTTTCATACCGGGTACGAGACTTTTCCGGATAAGAGTAGCATCATGAAGCTTCTTTGTCTTTTCCTTGTAAATTTTGGAGTTCTCGTAGGCCTCATTCCTCCACTCTTCTAGCTCCGAAAGTTGCAGTAGTCGCTCTTTTTCGGCCACATCAAGGTCGAAGTTCATCTTTATAATTGCCCAGAATGCCTTGTGCTCGATTTCCACTGGAAGGTGACACGCCTTTCCATAGACTAGGCGGAATGGACTCATCCCCAAAACTCCCTTGTATGCTGTCCTTTGGGCCCATAGTGCATCATCGAGTCTACTCGACCAATCTTTCCTGGACGAGTTTACCGTCTTCTAAAGAATGGTCTTGATTTGCTTGTTGCTCGTCTCTGCTTGGCCCAAAATTTGCGGATGGTATGGGGTGGCCATTCTGTGTGAAATCCCGTACTTCTTCATTAGTTTCTCGAAAACCCGGTTGCAAAAGTGTTTGCCTCCATCACTCACTATGGCTCGTGGGAATCCAAATCTGCTCAAGATATTACCTCGCAAAAACTTAATGACCACATTAGCATCACACGTCCTTGTGGGGATAGCCTCCACCTACTTGGACACGTAATCTATAGCAAGGAGGATATATTCGAAGCCAAAAGACTTGGGAAACGGTCCCATGAAATCAATGCCCCAAACATCAAAAATCTCAACTTGCAAATTGTTCGCTAGGGGCATTTCATTTCTAGAACCAATGTTCCCAATTCTTTGACATCGGTCACATGATTTACAAAAATTATGAGCATCCTTAAAAAGAGTTGGCCAGAATAAACCTGATTGGAGAACTTTAAAGGCGGTCTTACGTCCTCCAAAATGTTCTCCACAGTTAAGCTCGTGGCAAAAGGTGAGGACATCCAATTGCTCTTCTTCGGGCACACACCTCCGAAGAATCTCATCCTTTCCCACCTGGAAGAGGAGTGGGTCATCCCAAAAGTAACTCCTACATAACAACACAAAACGTTTTCTCTCTTGGGAAGAGAGGTTAGACAACAAGACACCATCTGACAAGTAATTGACAATATCAGCATACCAAGGGACATTAGTCACTTCACTCGCATGCTCATATGGAAAGTCATCATTTATACCAACATGCTCATGCAATGCAAGTGAAGGTTCAGAAGGAACAATACGAGACAAATGATCAGCAACCACGTTTTCACAACCTTTCCTATCACGAATTTCTACATCGAACTCTTGCAAAAGAAGAATCCACCGAATAAGCCTAGGTTTCGATTGAGTTTTACTCAACAGATACCTAAGGGCTGCATGGTCTGAATGCACAATTACTTTAGACCCTACGATATAAGACCTAAATTTTTCAAGAGAAAACACAACAGCCAAAAGTTCTTTCTCAGTGGTAGTATAATTTAATTGGGCACCATTGAGAGTCAAACTAGCATAATAAATCACACGAAGCAATTTATCAACTCGTTGGCCCAAAACGGCCCCCACAGCAAGATTCGATGCATCACACATAATCTCAAATGGTAAAGACCAATCAGGTGCAATCACAATAGGAGCAGTCACAAGCTTATCTTTCAATTTAGCAAAAGCCTCTACACATGCATCATCAAACACGAAAGGCACACCATTGGCGAGCAAGTGACACAAAGGCTGGCTGATTTTCGAAAAATCTTTAATAAATCTCCTATAAAAGCCAGCATGACCCAAAAAACTTCTAACTCCCTTAACATTCACAGGAGGGGGGAGTTTTTCAATCACATCAATTTTTGCCTTATCAACTTCAATTCCACGACTAGATATCACATGACCCAACACAACTCCACTCGTCACCATAAAGTGACTTTTCTCCCAACTCAATGTCAAGTTAGACTCAATACACCTCTCAAGCACGCGAGATAAATTATGGAGACAATCAGAAAATGAAGTACCGAAAATAGAGAAGTCATCCATAAATACCTGGAGGCAGTCCTCGAGCATATCTGAGAAGATGGAGAACATGCACCTTTGGAAGGTCCCGGGTGCATTGCATAGGCCGAATGGCATCCGTCTGAAGGCAAATGTGCCGAATGGACAAGTGAAGGTAGTCTTCGGTTGGTCCTCGGGTGCTATGGCTACTTGGTAGTAGCCGGAGAGTCCATCCAGGAAGCAATAAAACTGATAGCCCGAGAGACGGTCGAGAATCTGATCAATGAACGGCAACGGGAAATGGTCTTTCTTAGTCACAGCATTGAGGCGGCGGTAATCTATACACATTCTCCACCCGGTAGTGATTCGGGTGGGGACCATCTCCTTCTTCTCATTCTCTATCACCGTGATGCCCCCTTTCTTCGGCACCATATGGATTGGGCTGACCCACTCGTTGTCTGCCACTGGATAAATGAGCCCTTCTGAGTAGAGCTTCAGCACCTCCTTCTTTACCACCTCCATCATGTTCGGGTTGAGCCGCCGCTGGCTGTCCCGATATGGTTTGGCACCCTCTTCTAGGATGATCCGGTACATGCATGTGGAAGGGCTGATGCCCTTTATGTCACCGAGGCTCCAACCAATCGCCTTTTGATTCTTCTTCAACACATCAATCAACTTCTTCTCCTCGTCACCATTTAGCTCGGCAAAAATGATAACCGGCTTTTGCTTCTCGTCATCAAGAAAGACGTACTTGAGATGGCGGGGTAATTCCTTAAGCTCTAATGCGGGTGGAGTAGGTGCGTGTGGCTCGTCAGCTGCGAAGAGCTCAATGATTGGCCCTTCTTCATCGTCGAAGTCGGGCATCGACCTCTCTTCCAATTCTCGTACAGTCATCTCTTCCACGAACGGGTCGGTCACATCAATAAAGGCACACTCCTCCACAAAGTTCACTGAGGAGGAGGATATTGCTTCTCGAACTGAAATAGAAACGGACTCGCCCAAGACCGTCATATTCAATGTCCCATTTTTCACATCAATGAGGGTGTTGGTGGTAGCCATAAACGGTCTGCCGAGAAGGATTGTGTGATCCTTCCCGTTCTCCTGCACGTCCCCCACATCTAGAACTACAAAGTCCACCGGGACGATAAGTTTCCGCACACGAACCAGGGCATCTTCCACTACCCCTTTGGGGTATCTGATAGAACGGTCTGCGAGCTAAAGGCACATGCGGGTGGGCCTCAAGTCTCCTAGGCCGAGCCGCTGAAAGATAGAGAACGGCATGAGGTTGATTCCAGCTCCAAGATCCAGCATCCCTGAAGCTTCCTTTCCGTTTCCGAGGGCTATTTTAATCACGAAGATTCCGGGATCTCGTTCTTTCTTTGGAAGGTCATGCTGCATAGCACTTGCGGCCTCGTAAACCACTACCTTCTCCCCGTCTCCAAATTTCCTCTTTTTCATCACTAAGTCCTTGAAGAA